CACTTGAAAGAGGAAAGTTGTTCCTCTCAACTCAAAGTATACAGTTGTTCAACATCTCAGAAGCCAGAACAAACTCCTAAGTTTTACCAAGTTCATGCTTTTGATCTGACTTCTTAAGCTCTTACAAAGCTTATAAACTTTTATAAGATGTTCTTAATAATCTATAATTTTCCCCCAGTTTTCTTCTAGAACCAGCTATAAATCCAGGAACAAAATGAAACTCATTTCAAGTTGCAATTGATCCTGGAAACAGAGTTTCAGGATCGTTACAACTTTTTAAAATTGATCACCTGAATCAAGGCAAAGCTGAAGCCTAATGCTTCTAAGACACTGTGGCTTGACAGCATGCGAGTTGCACCTAAACCTCTCAGGACCCATCTCCTGCCTCCTCCTTCCCCACTGACCTGCTGTTCTGGAAGACATTAGGCTTGCACCAGCTATAAGGCCCTCAATATACAGCTATTCCCTCTGCCAAACCAAACACTTCTAACTAAGACATCATTGTGGCTAAAGCCCTCACCACCTCCAAGGTTTTACTTAAATGCCACCTACTCAGTAAGGCCCACTCCAACTGACCTACCGAGAACAATCACCAGCTTCCCCAGTCCTTCCAACATCCCTGAACTTTATACCTAATTAGAATGAATGAATGCAGATTTTCAGGTGATAGGTGTACACGGAAACATACAGAGCTATGGATTTAGCAAGTCATTCAGAAGGACACAAACAGCAGTTAGAAATAGGAGAGGAGGGCCTCCCCGGTGGCGCAGCGGTTGAGCGCTGGGTTGCGAAGCTGCCCGCGGCCTCTGCGGCGCCGGTTCGATCCCCGGCTGCTCCCCGGCCACCGGAGGAGGATCCCACATGGTGTGCAGACCTCTCCTGCCGCCCGCTGCTCCCCTCAGCAGTGTACTTCAGCCCTTCTGCCTGCTCTGCTCCCCGCTCTGGCTCTGGTGAATTCTCTCACCCTCCCGCGCCTCTGACTGTACCCAGTGCATGTATAAACAAAACAAACAAATATAATAAATAAATAAATAAAAACATGCCTCTATAAAAAAAGAAAATTTAAAAAAAAAAAAAAAAAAAAAAAAAAAAAAAAAGAAATAGGAGAGGAATTGCAGAGAGAGAGGAGTCAAAGGAAGACTCTCAGGCTGGGGAGCATGAGGCAATGTGGCTGCTGGCACAGGGCACAGGAACATCGCCATCTGACAACTATGATCAACTTTCACCGTGCCTGTTTTTCTCTGACTATTATTTATAGGCCTTTTCATTTTGAAATTATAAAAATCTAGGTGACCTGACACTAAGATATCTGGTTCTTCCCACAGGCTGCATAATGTGTTATGCAGGTTCTTAGTACAATTTATCCTGCTTTTTCTATATTTAGCATTTGGTATAGATTCTCTTTTTTTTTTTTTTAACTGTCTTATAGCTCAGATTCTGCGTCAACAAGTCAGATGCTAAAGATTCAGAGATTAAGACTTGCTTGCAAACAAAGTTTAAAATCACAACCCTTCTCATTTTACAAAATTCTTCTGCATCTATTTTCTTGTTTAATCACTTTAGAGGTGCTCAACCCCCTTAAAATAACTCCTGCCCTACAAATGATCTGGAGATCCTAAGGAAACATGTGGGAAGTAGAATCTTTAATCCCTTATTATTTGTGAAAGAGATTCCAGCAAACCCACAGTGACTAGGATGGGTACAGTGTTCCAAGCAAAATGCAACAATGAGGCAGGGCTGTGCCCCTTAAATTCTATTTCCTGTCACACTTTTCTTTACCAGAAAGCCAGAATAACTAAACTTCAAATCAGTAAGTTGACTTTCCACAAATGAGCAGACTCTAAACAAGCAGAAGAGCTTAAAGTAGCATCACTATAAGGCGAGATTCCCCCACACTCCTGTCCTCCTAAGCTTATGAAATGGCTGCTGTTGCATTTGATCAAGCCCAAAATCAAATCTAAAAATCCTCACATCATTACAAGTAAATGATTTGGGCTGTCTTGACAGCCCTCCCAAAAGATACCTGGTTATGATGTTATCTTTCTCCACACACACCCCATGCCATCACCCCTGAATTGAACAAAGCAGCCTGAACTCTATTCCTAGGGCATTCAGCTCGCAGAATTATCTAAAACTGTGCAGTTCCTGGACTATTCTTTTTTTTTTTTTTTTTTTTTTTTTGTTTGTTTTGTTTTTTATTTTATTTATTTGTTTGTTTTGTTTATACAAGCACTGGGTACAGTCAGAAGCGCGAGAGGGTGAGAGAATTCACCAGAGCCAGAGCGGGGAGCAGAGCAGGCAGAAGGACCGAAGTACACTGCTGAGGGGAGCAGCGGGCGGCAGGAGAGGTCTGCGCGCCATGTGGGACCCTCCTCCGGTGGCCGGGGAGCAGCTGGGGATCGAACCGGCGCCGCAGAGGCCGCGGGCAGCTTCGCAACCCAGCGCTCAACCGCTGCGCCACCGGGGAGGCCCACCTGGACTATTCTTTGACATCAAATCTAACAAGTTGTCCATTATGAGCTTTTGGGACTTGGTGTGTCTAGGTCTCTTGACCGCCACATCACTCTTAATATAGAATCAATTTCCAGCCTCCAAAAGGCACTTACCCTCAATCATTACAGTGCAGATTCCTTGTTAAGCACTTGAATAAATTTTCAGAAATACCTCACTGCCCTACATAGAACTGAGATTTGGAAACCCTAAGCATATTAGAAATGGAGTCCTTCCTCTCTTGTTGCTTATGAAACAAGTCTTCCACATTGTCGCAAAGGAGAGAGCAGGTCATGTAAACGTGGTGATCACAAAAGTCCACTCTGAGATGAAAACTACAATATGAGAATGTACCACCATGCAGAGCCAGGGGAGGTGTTTTTGCAAGCTGGCAAGGATCGCATGTGCAAATGCCAGGGGCAGGAGGGGCTTTGTGCATGCAAAGAGTACACAGAAACTGTGAGAAAGATTAGCAAGCAGGCTCTCCCTGGTGGTACAGGGGTTAAAGTCTCAGTGCTGTCAAGATATCACCACCCACTGTGACCTGAGTACAATCCCCAGCCAGAGAGCTGACCCACATGGCACAGCAGACCTCTGCTGTCTCACCTGCTGCTCCCCTTAGCAGTGTATTTCAGTAGATTCACCTGTTATGCTCTCTACTCTATCTCTGGTAAATAAATCTTTTTTTTTAAAAAAAAAAAGTGCGATCTGCAGGGTAAAAACATGCAAACTTCATTCTGTGTGCAAAGGAATCAGTTTTGGTTTTTTTTGTGAGAAATAACACGAACTGATTTATGTTCTTAAAAGACTTCTCTACGTGCCCAGTGGAGAACAAGGAAGGCTACTTTAACAGCCCAAGCAAGTGACTGGTAGCCTGGACTAGGGGACTGTCATATAGAGAAGTGGACATACCAGAGAGGTGATTTTACCATAATGGTATACAATATGGAAATTTCCAACGTAACATTACATACAAAGCCTTCTCTCACAGTTCTTATGTTTTATAAATGACTACAAATTATTATTGTAACTCAAGAACAAGAGTTTCCAAAGCAGGAGCTTGGGGACTCAAAAACCAAAACCTTCAAGGTCCAGGCTGAAGGACAATTTCATTCTGGTAAACCAAACCAGAGTGTTAAAAAAAGAGAACATCATTTTGGGCCTCCCTGGTGGCACAAGTGGTTAAGATGCAACCTATGAAGCTGTTGGCAGCTCAGCAGCAGCAATGAGTTTGGTCCCCTGCCAGCCAGGGAGCAACCCATACCCCGAGGCAGACCTCTCCTGTCTCGCCTGCGCCTCCCCTCAGCAGTGTACTTCAGTCAATCTGCCTGTTCTGTTCCCCGCTCTGTCTCTGGTGAATCCTCTCACCCCCCCCCACACACACCTCTGGCCTGTACCCCATCTTGTAAACATAAATAAATAAATCTAGGGCCTCCCCTGGTGGCGCAGCGGTTGTTGAGCACTGGGCTGCTAGCCTGCAGCCCCTGCAGCACCGATTCGTTCCCCGGCCGCCGGCGAGGGTCCCACAAAAATAAATAAATAAATCTAAAAAAAAAAAAAGAACATCTGCCTGGTTTTAACATTGCTTCCTCACTTTACAGGTGAGAAAGTAACTCCAGCGCAGTCAGAATGTAAGCTTCCCCTGTGCAGGAACCTGCCACTCCTCCTGCACCTCCTTCGCCCCTACCACCTAGCTGGTGCTCTGCACACAGCAGACATTCCAAGATATGTAGGTGGACTCCAAAAAGAGGTCCCCGCTTGGTCATCTATGACATGCTTGGAAAGAATTAATTCTCACTCTGATGACTTTTCATTCCACTAGAAAAAGGAATTCAAGGGATGCAGAAATGTCAGTCATATATAGCAAAGGTGGTTCCCAGGGTGCGGGATGTATGGGGAGGTGTGGGTGTGCACTACTTGACATTTAAATTGTCTGAAGCCTCTGAACCCTTTTATCACTATCCTTCCCACCTCACTTTCCCTCACCTTCACCATCACCACACTTCCACACCTGGCTAGAGTAAGTAAGGTACATCTAGCAGAACATCAGTTAACTAATGATGATTAGTTAACTTATGATAGCGAACTCATCTTAAGTTTCGAGGGTCATTTTTTTGGAGCTTTGTGAAATTTGGAGGCTAGAAAAGTCAGTCACAAACCCACCCACCACCCCACAATTTTAAATTTCCTGGGCAAAATTTCCTCTTCGGGGCCTTTCCAGTCCTAGCCAGCACCTCACGCTCCATTTGCGGCCCTTCCCCGAGGCCAGCGGCTCCACCCCCCGCCCCCCCCCACCGGCCTCGTTTGCAGAACAGGGACAATAACCCCAGCGGGTTTTACTCCCGCGGGGGCTGCAGGAGAAATGCACGGTGCTCGGCACACACTCCGCATCCAGCTTGGCAGCTACGGTTAGCATCTTCACGGTCCTGCGCGAGGTGGGCCGGGCCGCGCTTGCAGCACCTGCGTGGGGAGGGTCGGGGACCAGGGGCCGGCGGGCGCCGCGCACCCACCTGCAGGCGGACGTTGAGCATCATGGAAGCCACGATGTAGAGGTAGGGGAAGTTGATACGAAGCCGCCAGGCCAGGTCGAAGAAGATGAGCAGCGTGCGGGTCAACCCCTTGCAGAAGACCCCATAGGAACGCGCGGCGGCCGAGCGCGACAGCCGAACAGCCAGGCCCGACAGAGCCGCCGCCATATAGAGACCGGCGCCCGCCGCCCGCCGCCGCGCGCACCGCAGGGCAGCGGGACTCGGGCCACCGGCGCTCCGAAGCCCGCCCACCCGCTCTCCCGGAACTGCGTCCCTCCCCGGGCCTCCGCCCCGGCCGCCGGCCCGCGTTCGGTGCGCTGAAGGACCGGGGGAAGCGGCGGCGAGGGCGGCGGGCGAGCGGGCCGCGGGGAGGGGAGTCCGCACCTCAAGCTCCTGAGGCGCCTCCGCAAGCCACCGCCTGGTCCAGCCTGGCCGCGCGGGCTGACGTCACAATGCCCGAGCCGCGCCTGCGCAAACAGGCCCCGCCCCTTAGGGGCCGCCCCCTGTCACCTTCCCGCAGGTGAGACGCGCATGCGTGGCGAGGTGCCGCGGCAGGGCGGCTCATTCGCTGTCTGCGCCCGCCCCCTACTGGTAAGCAAGGAAATAAAAACAAGTTGAGTTGAACCGTGGTGAGAGCAGTGCACGTGATGCCCAACTGTGCTCTAAAAAGTTGTAAGAATTACACCAGTGAGAATGGCACATATTAAAAAAACTAGCAACAGCAAATGTTGGCGAGGATGAGGAGAAAAAGGAACTCTCCTGCACTGCTGGTGGGAGTGCAAACTGGTCCAACCACTGTGGAGAGCTGTGTGGAGATTTCTGGACCTACTAAACATAGAGCTTCCATATGATCCAGCAATTCCACTCCTAGGTATTTACCCAAAGGACACAGAAACATCAATTCCAAAGAACACCTGCACCCCTATGTTTATAGCAGCACTGTTTACAATAGCTAAGCTTTGGAAACAACCCAAATGCCCAAAAATAGATGACTGGATCAAGAAGATGTGGTACATATATACCATGGAATATTACTCAGCATTCAAAAAAGATAAACACATGCAATTTGCAGCAATGTGGATGGCGCTAGAAGGGATCCTGCTCAGCGAAATAAGCCAGAAAGAAAAAGAAAAATACCGGATGGTCTCACTCATAGCAGGAATCTAGAAAACTTATAAATAAGGGACCAGGAAAATGAATAACTATAAGAAAGTGAAAATCGAAATCAACAAAAAACTATGAACCAGAGACACTCTATGGGGGGTGGAGGGCGGGGAGGGGAGGGATTGGGGTCAAAATAAGGGGGTTGCAATTGTACGGGGAATATAAAAATAAAATTTATTTTAAAAAATAAATTTAAAAATTTAAACAATTTAAAAATAAAAAGTTGTAAGAATGATACGTGGTATGTATGTCTAACTGCAATTAAAACAAAGGCAGGGCCTCCCTGGTGGCGCAGCAGTTGAGCGCTGGGTTGCGAAGCTGCCTGCGGACTTTGCGGCGCCGGTTCGATCCCCGGCTGCTCCCCGGCCACTGGAGGAGGGTCCCACATGGCGCGCAGACCTCTCCTGCCGCCCGCTGCTCCCCTCAGCAGTGTACTTCGGTCCTTCTGCCTGCTCTGCTCCCAGCTCTAGCTCTGGTGAATTCTCTCACCCTCCCGCGCTTCTGACTGTACCCAGTGCATGTACAAACAAACAAATAAATACATAAATAAATAAAAATACATGCCTCTCTTTAAAAAAAAAAAAAAAAAACAAAGGCAGGTTCCATGGGGGCCAACAGGCATAATAGTCTCTCCATGTAGATTGCTCACATCCCCAGCTATTCTTGTTCAGTGTCAACTTGCATATAGCTTAATCTTTTAATAATTATGATATTAACTAAAGCCCCTGTAAAAATAATTAAACTTCCAGAATGCCTAGAGTTCTAGGAGTTGCGGGGGGCAGTTGACATTGAATTTTTGGGTTTCTACTTAAGCATATAGATTTCTACTAAGATGTGCTGGTAGTATAAAAACAGATAGCTTTCTTTTAATTTCAGGCTAAGAACTTCACATCTAATTTTGTCCACCAAGAAGAGAGTTTGGGAATTTAGTAAGGTGCGAAAAAAGTTTCATTGATGAAAAGTAAGTCAAGTCCTTTAAGAAAGTTACAGTTAAAAAGTAACAGTAGAAACATAGATCTAAATGTACAAATCCTTTGCCCCAAATGTATTTGCAATAATAATCTTTTTACAATTTACTACCCTGAAATTAATTCACATTCAAAATATTTTTTTTCCTTTTTTTAAAGATTGATTTATTTATGCATACAAGAACTAGGATAGAGGCCAGAGGTGTGTGGGGGCAGGGTGAGAGGATTCACCAGATACAGAATGGGGAGCAGAACAGGTGGATTGACTGAAATACACTGCTGAGGGGAGCAGTGGGTGAGTCAGGAGAGGTCTGCTGTGCCATGTGGGTAGCTCCCTGGCCAGCTGGGGATCGAACTCGTGCTGCAGTGGCTGCGGACAGCTTCATAGGTTGCATCTTAACCACTTGCACCGCTAGGGAGGCCTGCAAGATCATTTTTAAATAGAAATTCTAGGATCTTTATCTTTTGGCTAGTTTTATTATTATTAAAATGTTTTTCAGTAATTTGCATAAACCTTTAGTTTACCTTATTTTTGCAGCATTATATTTTGCCACATTCATCATTGACTTTAAACCACTCATTTCTCTTTTTTTGTAAACTATTTCCTCCTTTCACTGCACAGCAGATGCTATCTTAGAGGGCTGTAGAACACATGCTGCTGAAATATTGTTTTCCCAAAAAACAAAATGAGTAGTTCTTTTTACAGCATTTGTGAAAATAAAGATTTTAAAGACTAGAGTCTTCAGTGGAAAATTTGCCAAAATACACAAAATCAACCTTGCAATGTATAAACAGACTTAGAGATCAGCTAAATTTACTCTTAGTTCTGTAAAGATTTTCACTGGTGGAGAATTGACAGCCTTATTTGTTAGAAATGTGTTGAAAGACCAGATGTGCTGTAGCAACGTGAGACATATATACTTCTATCCACCCTGGCTGCTCATTTCTTTGTCTCTAAATGCTATTGAGGCTATGAGGCATCTTTAAGAAGTCATTCAGTTGCCATAAAAAAAATCCCCACAAAGCATGCTAAGAAGCCTGTTGTAACTAGACACAATGAGAGGTCAAAGAAAACACAAAGAAAGGGTACAAGATCTGAGGTTTAATGGATAAGGTTAACTAGTCCCAAGCTACTGAACTAGAGGGTAACATTTAACTCAATCCCAGTTTTCTGGCATTTCTTGGAAGTCGTTTTACTAATTATTATCTGAAAAACAGAAGTAATTTTAAGTCAATGTTAAAAGTATTTTCATAGAGCTTACAAAGATTTATGCAAGGCAGGAGAAGAAAAGACATGGAGGGAAATAAATAGTTTTGTTAGCAACTGCTTAATAAACCCAGATGTTTTGCTTACAATCTTCCCTCCTGCTGTCACAAGAGCTTCTCAGGTGAGGGAAATAATAAGGTATTTTTCTTTTCAGCACAATCTGGCTTCTCTGTGCTTTTCACAGAGAAGCCAGCTGGGTTCTAAGTTCAGCAACTTTCCAGCACCCTGCAACCCAGTTCTGTAAAATGAAGGTGAGTATTGTGAGAAAAAGGTGAGAAGAGGTATGGCCAGGGCCTTACCACAGTCCTAGGCAATGAGGGAGACTCTGAAAATGGTAGCTGTCTTCATAATCAGAGCCCTGGAGTCCTTACAATGCAAGCTCAGTGGATCCGTTAATACACGTTATAATTAAGTATGTTTAACTATGGAACATCCACAGAATGAGATGAATTAATTGTGTTTCTTGAAGAGTAGATGAACATAAACCATCCAAAATGTCTGTCAGAATTCATGTAAATGCCTTTGTTCATTCTGGGGGAGGATGAGGTAGATTTAAACATGAATTCAGTTGCCATTTTGAGAAAATAGAAGTTACCAGCTTCCCACTTCTTTATGTGTTTATTCTTTTCATAAAAGGATGGATAATACATTTATCTTAAAGTGGCTACCTCTAAGGGGAAGGAAGGAGTTGGGTCAACAAAGCGTTTTTTCTTACTTTACCTGTATAAATTGTACCTCAGTGAAAGCAAGAGGTTAATAAGGGTAGTCACTAAGATTTCTCCTTTACAGATGGGTCCGACTAATAAGTAAAGCAGGAATGTTAGATTTAGAAGATCACCATTTTGCAGCTCTTAATGAATGAATGAATGAATGAATTTCAGCAATGATTATCCATGACTGCTTACATCTCAAAAAGAAACTGGACTTGTGTTTTCCCGATAAAATATTATTGGGGGAAAAATTGAACCACAATAGATAAGCCTCTAGATCTAATTAACAGAGAAACATATTAAATATGCAATAGCAAAATCAAAATTGTGACACACAAAAAAGAGGAAAAAATGGAAGGAAACGGATCGATTTTTAAAAACTTGAGAGATTTACCTACCAAATCAATGCCTGCATGGACTTTATTTTTTTTTTTTTTTTTTTTTTTTTAATTTTCTAGAGGCATGTCTTATTTATCTATTTGTTTGTTTGTTTGGTTTATACATGCACTGGGTACAGTCAGAAGCCGGAGGGTGAGAGAATTCACAGAGCCAGAGCGGGGAGCAGAGCAGGCAGAAGGACCGAAGTACACTGCTGAGGGGAGCAGCGGGCGGCAGGAGAGGTCTGCGCGCCATGTGGGACCCTCCTTCGGTGGCCGGGGAGCAGCCGGGGATCGAACCGGCGCCGCAGAGGCCGCGGGCAGCTTCGAAACCCAGCGCTCAACCGCTGCGCCACCGGGGAGGCCCCATGGACTTTATTTTTTAAAAGCTAAATGGAATAAAGGGAGGGATTAAGACAATTAAATGATTTTAAGGTATTGTTATCTTTCCCACACCCCCAGAATTGTTATTTTTCTAAGGTGTGAAAATGTAGTTATGATTACATTTTCTAAAAATATATCCTCACAGCTGTAATGTAAGATGTATGGAATTTGCTTCCAAATAATGAAGGAGGGAAGTGGGTGTACATGACCCAAGATCACCTATAAATTGAAAGAAATTTGTTAAATTGGATGATGTATGCATGAAGACTCATTCTGCTGCTCTGTCAGTTTAGGCATACATTTGAATTTTTCCAT